ATTGCCAGGCTATAACAAGGAAGTTGTAGTGTGCTCTCTGTAGCTTCAACCTGAAGATGGTAAGAGGAAGAAAGATTTGACTCCTCTTTTCATGGCAGGACAGGAATTCAGAACTACATGAGGCCAATGTTAGATCTTCAAGAGAACATGATGGTTTTGGTGGCATCCTACTGTTTACTTATTCAGCAATTGTGGAAAGAACCTTCCAGTTTTTTCAGACATTATTGCCTATTCTCAGAAGCATCTCTTGTTTAGTCTGGAAGATTCACCAACACAATCTCTCTCTCTCTCTCTCTCTCTCTCTCTCTCTCTCTCTCTCTCTCTCTCTCTCTCTCTCTCTCCCTCCCTCCCTCCCTCCCTCCCTCCCTCTCTCTCCAAACCTCCTCATCTGCTCAGAAGAAATATTAGAAACTGGCAGTTTTTGTTGGGATCCGCCCCCTCCCCCCATCCATCTCTGATTATCTTTAACATAACATTTAAGAACTGAAAGGGAACCATCAGCAGAATTGTGAAAAACCATTACATGACACGGCTGTACCATCTGGTTATCCCAAATATGCATCTTCCTCTTACTCCTTTGGGAGGAAAAGGCAGCACTGAGGGCCCAGGCCACAACCTGGATTGCTGTGGAAATACTGGAGCCATCTTCAGACAGGATTCTTTCAACCAGATCCTGGGGTGGGATTTCCCAGCTCTCTTTCTCCAGGCATCTCTTCCAAACTTTCTTAGCCAACAAGGGGATTGAATAGGAACACTGAAATGCTGCCTCCCCAAACTTCTCTGCAGCAGAGTAATGTGAATTAAAATCATAATATTGTGTCCTTTTCTTTGATTGAGTTGAGAAGGATAATATAAGATGGTTATGCTGGAGATTAACAAACTGGTAAAATAATCTCACACCGATATCTGACAAAGCTGTAGCAATCCATACTTTTTCCTTAAACAGGATTTGATTCTTTTCAATTTGTTGTATTAACACTGCTACTATTAATGTGGTCTGAGAATCCAACTGACAAACAATACTTTTCACTCTACTGTCACTAAAATATTGAAAAAATTGCTTATCCCTCCCTATTCTAAGAATCACAGGTAAGCTTTCAGAGAAGGCAACACAGACACCTTTCTTTAGGGCTTCTGGCACAAAGGTTCTTCTGAACTTTTCCCCACTTTCATTGTCCGGAGCAGCGAGGCCGATCCACGTCCATCGGAAATGCAGGAGCAGTTGGACAATTGCCAAGTGAGGAGGTTCTTGCTTTGGACTCACCCGGTAGAAAAAAGGAAAATGGTGTTTCTGCTATGGAATGTGGCTGATGACCCCATAATTGATCTAAGATGTAAGAGAAAAAATATGGTGAATTGCTTTGCTTTTCAGGACAAAAATAAGTCCTTACCTCAAAGGGATTTTTTTTTTCTGATGCTAACCCTATACTCACACATCAAGTGGTCAAATATATTCACCAAGTTATACTCAGTGGCTAAGACACTGAGCTTGTCGATCGAAAGGTCGGCAATTCAGTGGTTCGAATCCCTAGTGCTGTGGAACGGTGTGAGCTCCCGTTACTTGTCCCAACTTCTGCCAACAAAGCAGTTCGGAAAGCATGTAAAAAATACAAGTAGAAAAATAGGAACCACCTTTGGTGGGAAGGTAACAGACATTTGAATACCTGATGAAAATATAATATTTCAGGTGTCTTTTAAGCTCTGTCATGACACATTTTATTTATCATCTGACCCCTTTTGGACTATCAGTAGACTTTATAAAATGAAATTAGCTTCAGTATTCATTCATACTTGTGGAATTTTGTAGGTGCCTAGCATAGCTGAAATGTAATTAAAGAGTTCTGAATCAGTCTCTTCAAACACAGCCAAAAGATTGTTTTGTCTTCCGCAACTGTAGTTTGGGACATTCTCCTGCCCTGTAGACAGCAAGTCCATCATGACTTCGGATGTGATCCTTGCATTGAAAAAGTTCTCATAGATGCTGTATCCCAGGGTGATGTTTGGTAACAGCTTTGGATTCTGGTTGACCTCATGAATGGCAAAGAAGAAGGGCAGGACGTGCCAGAAGCTCATACTCTTTATACTGCAAAATAAGAGAGTGCAGTTGGTTTTCATCCTCAAGTCATAAAATGACATCACATTATCTGAAGCTGTTCCTTTATGACATTTAGCAATCAGTTGGATAGCTGTCTTATGAGACTAGCCTAGAAATTTAACAATCTAAAAATCTGAAATTAGTTATAGAATGTATCCCTAATATATCTCTAATTGTGTTGCCCAGGATGATGTTTGATAACAGCTTGGGATTCTGATTGACCTCATGAAGGGAAAAGCAGGAGGGAATCAGACCAAAAGCTCATTTCCTGCATTATAATGCAGGAAATATTCTCAGAAATTCTTTGTTCAATTAAACAAAGTCAGATGATTGAATGAGTCATTTATGGGACCTTCCCAGGTGATTTTAATCATAGACTGCTAATATCACAGGTGTCAATATTAAAAGTTAAAACATATAAAATTTTAGCAATCATATCAGCTAACCATCCCCATTAAAAGAAACACAGTGGAAAGGTTAAAATTAATCACTAGCGTTGAGAACACATCAGGAATTACCTTACAAATCTGTGATGTGGAGGCTTAAAGAAGATGTATGGTAGAAATACAGTGCTAGATGTAGATATGAGTCCACTAATCAGAAAATCTCCTGTCTTGTAGTAATGAAATTCGTGTTTTCCTTCTTTCTGCGCATTTAAGGGACATTTGGTCACCAGCCTCCCACATGGAAAATGGGACACCAAGAGAAGCAGCAGCAGCAGCAGCATTTCAGATATCACAATGAAGATCTTCTGTAGTTCTCTGAGACAAGACACCACTGTCTTTAGTTTCAGGGAAATCTTTAGGGGAAGCACAGCTCTCTTGCCAAAGGACACAGATACACGGACTTGACCAAGCAAGATAAAATTTAATCTGGCACATTAAAAGGACAGCATTAAAATTCAGACCTGTACAATGTGCCTACAGGAGTCTCACCATGTGTTCTTTGTAGTCCTTGAGATCCTTGTGGATCAGATCTTCAGATTTTTATAAGAATTACAAAATATTTGTGAAATCTGTTGATGGGGGTTACTAAATATCTGTACCTCTGTTTCAAAATAACCGTGGGTGAGAGAAGTCCCCTAGGCTTTAGTGGAAGATGAAGTAATCATTGTGATTTTGATAATTATACAGGGATTTTGGAATCACAGTTGATTCTCTGTATGACTTCACTTACAAGTGTGCCTGAGGGGAAAAAATTTTCCATGAGTTATGGACCTAGTTAGAATTTAATCATCAAAATAACGACTCAGGAAACTTTTTATTCCCATTATTACTTTGGAGGAAGCAGAATATCTGGTCCTGTTATATTTGGGTTTCATGTTGAGTCATAGCACAGAGAAAACACTGATTGTGCTTGTAAATTAACTCTGGTGGACCTTGAATTAGGATGGGGTATTAATCCTGCCTCTGCTGGGTCTCTCATCAGCTTTCAATATTGAAACACAATACATAGGTAGTCCTCGGCTTACAACAACTCATTTGGTGACCGTTCAAAGTTACAGCATTATTGAAAAAAGTGACTTATAACCATGTTTCACACTTACAACTATTGCAGATTCCTCGTGGGCATGTAATCAAAATCTGGATGCTTGAAAAGTGGTTCAATTTTAAGATAGTTGCAATGTCCTGGAATCATGTGATCACCTTTTGCAACTTTATGGCAAGTAAAGTCAAAGAGGAAACTGTCAGTGTGTATGAGAATTCATGACTGGCAGAGAACAAGGTCAGCCAATGGGGACTGTTTGGAAACTGAAACAGTATTTGCTGGAGACAGCAAGGAGTCTGGGTGTGGTTAAACTTAATCTCAAAAACTAGTCTGCTGAACTGAAACTGAAATTGTTCTCTCCTCTGCCTGTGTTTGCCTGTACTCTCTACCATGTTGGAAGAATCAGCCATTGGTATTGTATATTTACTTTCATGTGTTCTATTATATATAAAGAGAAGTTAATGAATCCTGCTGAATCAGTTACCTGTGTGTGCTTTCTGGATTTGATTGCTGCAGCAAACTCTGACAGAAACCAGATTCATTTAACAATCAAGTTACTGATTTAACAACTGCAGTGGTTCACTTAAGAACTGTGGCAAGAAAGGTCATAAAATGGGGAAAAATTCATTTAACAATTGTCTCACTTAGCAACAGAAATGTTGGGCTCCATTGTGGTCATAAGCTGAGGACTACCTATACCTCTAGGCCAGGGGTGTCAAACTCGCATCATCACAGCTTCATCACATGACATATCGTGACTTCTTTTCCCCTCGGTAAACAGGGTGTGACCAGCATGGCCCATGGGACCCCAGTTTCACACCTGTGCTCTAGACCCATTGAGAGGGTGGGGAATGAATTTTCCCTCACAAAAACATTATCAAGTTCCTCTACTGTGTCAACTCTCTTGTGATTGGCAAGTACAGACTCATATCTTCATTCTGCTGGTCTCGCTTAAAATTTGGAGACAATGGGGGGAGAGGAAAGAAATCTGTGCATTGACAGAGTGAATGGTGTGGCTTGAGGGAAAGTAGAAAGAAAAGTTAAATATGCAAAGCAGATATCAGTTACTGATTGGATAAACCAAAATCAAAAATACTCATGGCTTTTGAAGATTATAGAACATAAAATATGTGTTAATATAGGTGGCCATACAAATCTTTTAAAATAAATGAGTAACTAAAACAAATTATGTTGAGTTATGAAATGTTTTTGAGAAATGAGAATCCTACAATATCTCCCTATCCTTATAAGAAACCTACACAAGGACCCGAAGCCAGACTCTGAACAAAACAGAGTTAAGCAGAGGGATTCCAGATCACTCTTGTGAGACAAAAATGAGACAAGACTGTATACTCCCTTTGGCAGCATTCCAAGTTTCAACCCCAACAAAAGAAGACTCCGAGGCTGGCAATTCCTAAAAGTTCCATTTTATTAGAGAAGTCATATTGACACATCTGGGAAAACCCAAATCTGAAAGCTTCCAGTTTTCCTCACCCAAAAGAAAGTCAAAGTTCCATCCCCTTCACCCACATGTCCATCACATGATCCAATCAATTCACTGTCCCAACTGGAGGCAAACCCCCAAGCATGCCCATCCAGGTGCAGGCTGATTGTCCTTGGTTCCCAGAGAAAGGAATGTTGTTATGGCTAATTCTCCACCGACTCCTTGAAATCCCCCATCCCGTTTTCCCAGGCACTAAATGTGACAGCTCAGAAGCTCTAAAGAAAAAGATGGCTTCCAGGGCTGACATCCTTCTTATTTATTCAACTTGTATGCTGAATGGATATTGAAGAAATGTAGATTGGAAGACAAATAACATGGTTTTAAACTGCTGGAAGAAACATCAATAACTTTCCTATGCTATTTATTGATAGCAAGATTAATCACATGGAAGAAAGAAAAAATTCTTAGAACAAATACCAAAAAATTTGCAATTTTGCAATCTTATTGCAATTTGCAATGTCTTATTTTATTTTAGCTACCATTTGGATAAAAACAATAATTGCCAAAATCAAGAGCTCTAGTTGTTTTTCATCATTAGATGCTCCTTCATGTTCAAATCAGGTCTCAGAATGATGACGTAACATTTGGGGACAAAGATGCAGCCCAGTAAGCCCAGGCTGGAAGTCAGGATGGAGAAGATCTGCACAGCCACCATGTATTTCCCTTTGGTGCTCAGGTAGGTGGGGACAAAGGAGACCCAAACACTGCAAAAAACCAACATGCTGAAGGTGATCAGCTTGGCTTCGTTGAAAGAGCCTGGCAACTTCCGGGCCAGGAACGCCACCAAGAAGCATATGGCAGCCAGAAAGCCCATATAGCCAAGGGCACTGTAAAACATTGTAACTGAACCTTCATTGCATTGCAGAAGGATCTGTCCTTTTTGGGAATAGAAGTCAGAATCTGGGAATGGGGGAAAGATTCCCAGCCATATGAAACAGATGCCCACCTGAACACCAGAGCAGGAGAAGATGATGAAATTGGCCAGAGATTTCCCCAGCCATTTCCTCATCCTGCTGCCTGGCTTTGTGGCCAGAAATGCCACCACCACCATGATAGTCTTGGCCAGCAAGGATGACACGGCAACTGAGAAAACAACACTGAAGGCAGTTTGTCGAAGAAGGCAGGTCGCTTTCTTGGGTTGACCAATGAAGAGAAGGGAAGTCAAGAAGGAAAGCAGGAGAAAGATCAGCAGAATGTAGGTGAGATCCCGGTTGTTGGCTTTGACTATGGGAGTTTCTCGATATTTAATAAAAATTCCTAGAACTGAGGCAGTGATTAGAGACAAAAAAAGGGCAGAGATAGCCAGAACAAGACCTAAGTTTTCTCTGTAGGACAGAAATGTCATAACTTTGGGAACACACAGATCTCGTTTGTTGTTGGAATGGTGGTCATCTGGACACTTTTCACAATGGGCTACATCTGGAAAACACAAAATACTGTTTTTTAACAAGTGATTGAGTGACATTCAGCACATCATTTTATGCCGCCCAACTCCCAAGAGTCCCTTGGGAGTCGGGCGGCATAGAAATGCGACAAAATAAATAAATAAAATAAATAAATCATAGCCAACTTTTCAGATATAGGATGTACACATTTATTGTTATATGATTTGTTTATTATGCAATTATATTTATAGACCACCTGTAAAACATTTTGCAGCAGTTTCGCCTTAAATTATAACTTGGAGTGAATTTTCTATATTTTTCTTGTTGAAAACTCTTCTCATTTTTGCATTAGGATTATTCCTTTGATGTCTTGCATCCATTTTATCATACAAATGTTTATTTTTTCCATCTCCATGTTATATTGCAAAAACAATTTATATATGGCTCTAAATCATAAATCTTATTTTGTATGAGTATTTCAAATGCTGTCATCTTTCTCAAGGTCTCTCAATCTTTTTCAAGATGGTTTGTTATTGTTTCAGCAGTTTGTGAAAAAAATCCACCACCGTGAATTCTACCTTCACTGAAGTGATTTTAGTCTGCTTCCTGAGTCTGGATGTAGCATATCGGCATATGACATCAAATCTTGGTAATACCAGAACGGTGGTAGCACAGTGATTAGAATACAGTATTGCAGGCTAACTCTGCCCAGAGCCTGGAATTCAATCCTGATCAGCTCAAGGTTGACTCAGCCTTCCTTCCTTTTGAGGTTGGCAAAATGTGGACTCACTTTGTTGGGGACAATATGCTGACTCTGTAAATAGCTTAGAGGATGATATAAAGCACCCTCTATGTCTAAGTGCAATTGCTATTGCTAATATATTGTCCTTAAAATATATGGTGCTCCTTCTTTGTTCTTGAACTACCGACCTTCCTGCACAGAGATGGTTCCTTCCATGCATGGAGAACAGTCATAACAGCAAAGTGGTTCTCCCTCCCTCAAGAGCTTGGTATATCCTGGGAGGCAACTTTCAGTACACCTAGAAAAGGGGGCCTTCTAAACAGAAAGAAAGTCAGAGAAACATAGGAATGAGGGGGTTACTTCTAAAAATGGAACTGAGCACCAAAGTGGGTTCAGGAATTCAAAAAGATACTTTCAAGATCTTTTTCCAAATATAATGAAAATAATTTTCTCTTAGTGAAAAGTCTTCACTAGCTATTTCATTTCAGCAGCTATGATCCCAGAGTCCCCTTAATGTTCAGAAAAGGCTGTTGATTCTCCAGTCCAGGCATCATTATCCTTCTGGGATTTTTCTGCATTTGAACTTCAGATCCCATCAGATTCAGCCAACTGGTCAATGACACAAAACTGTGGAAAGTGTAGTCCAAAGCATGGAAACCACAGGGTTGCTCTCTCCTATCTTAGCAATTGCTAGAACACAATCTATCACAACATGTCCTCTGGCTTCTTTCAATATGCATTTGTTAGATCTCAATTTCCTATCAACTCAGTCTCAAAGCAGACTCTAGTTGTGAACAAACATTGGATAAGATTCAATAGAAGAGAATCTCTGTAACGCAGGATTGAACTGTAAACTCCTTGATGCTCTCTCAGTTTGGTTGTCTGCTTGCATTCATTTGACTAGATAACATTATCAGTGCTATCATCAAGCACATCAGGCATTGACGATGTTACTTAGTTCAGTAAGCAACCAATAAAATACCTGCAAACAACAACCAAGCTCAGAGAACACCAAAGATTCCACTAACTAAGTGCCTCCAACCCTAGAACAATGCTGATATTCCCACCATAAGCAATAGATCTTTTGAGAGATCCAGGAGAAATAGTAGTGTCTCCTTCAACTGCCTTTTTACCAGTGCAGGTCCTCCATTATAGTGAAAAGGCTGAAAAACCATAAAATCACATGGATATATAGGAATAGATAAATAATAAAACCCAAAAAGAGGCAGATTTGGTTACCTGGTTAAAAGACGTTGGCCATATGATGGCACTCTCGTGGATAGAGACCTTGATATCTGAAGAGACTTCTTCTTTTCCAATATTCCCAATTACCACCCCAGCAGCAGATTTGTTGGGAAATACTGCCCAGTCCATGATATCAAAGTCAGCAGTAGGAATTCCATTCTCATCCAAATAAACATCATTTACAGAAAAATTGTAAATCTGGAAGTTTCTTAGAAAAGGATGGAGCTGAAAAGATATGGAGAATCACACTTGCAATGTATACGTTCCCATTTCAACCCTAAATCAAAACAGGGATACTTTACCCCGGTGTTTCTGTCTGCAAATGTGGTAGGAAGATTGTTTTTTCTCTCTCTAATTCCCTCTCCCCCTCTCTTTCTTTCCCACTCCCACTGTCTCTCTCTCTCACACACACACACACACACATACACATACACACAAACCTTTTTCAGTTTAATATTTTTTGCCTGCTTTATGAAATTGGTAATCTCAGATTCCAAACATATTATGACTCCGGCAATCTCACCATATTCCTATGGTAGTTTTCCCACTAATTCTATTGGTATTACAAAAAGGAGTGTCCCAATTTTGCTTGACTAGAACATTAACTCCAACTTGGCTTTGAGTCATCAACAAAAGGCTGGTCCTAAATCTTCAGTCTCCTTTGGCCAATGTCCTAAGGCACCCCTGCTGCTTCCCCTTTGTTGCAGGGTTGTTGCCTGCCTCCCTCTGTCCAAGTTACCTGCTGGAAGGAAACATGCACTAATCTAGGTAGTGTAAGAAAAAAAGGGAGAAAAGGAGATATATGCAATGCCTGTTAAAAAAAAGAAAGGATGGGGGTTTCCATCACACTCTTTGGAAGAGAAAATATCACAAAATGAAACAGTGAGGTTTAGAAAAGCCACTAGAAATTAAAGCTAGTTGTACAACCAGAGGTGACATCATGTTGCAACCTGACTTTTCCCCCACAATGTTGTGAATGGAAGTTTTTTTTCCCCCTTATTAGCTGATATGTATCACAGTTGGAAAATTGCACAGCCAGAGAAATCACTTCTGTCCTGATGTCCTGGAAACATGGAAGAACAATGGAGGCATTTGGAAGTGAATAAAATGGTCAATTGAAACAACACATTCCTTACCAATGTATTATTATACGCTCTTTCTAAGCTCTACAAGTTTTATTCTTCTATAGTAGCTTTATGGAACCAACAGTTGGTGTTGGAATGTGAAAGGATTGGGAGAAATGATTGGGTTCGAAACAGGGGTGTTATTCAGCAGGTTCTGTAGAACCGGTAGCGGAAATTTTGAGTAGTTCGGAGAACCGGCAAATACCACCTCTGGCTGGTCTCAGAGTGGGGTGGGAATGGGGATTTTGCAGTATCCTTCCCCTGCCACCCCCACCAAGCCATGCCCATCAAGCCACGCCCACACAACCAGTAGTAAAAAAAAATTGAATTCCATCACTGGTTCCCAATACTAAGATTTAATTTTCAAAGGAGCAGGAAATGAATCTTGGGAGATGGCAAACACAGAAGAGAAAATTGCCAGGCTATAACAAGGAAGTTGTAATGTGCTCTCTGTAGCTTCAACCTGAAGATGCTAAGAGGAAGAAAGATTTGACTCCTCTTTTCATGGCAGGACAGGAATTCAGAACTACATGAGGCCAATGTTAGATCTTCAAGAGAACATGATGGTTTTGGTGGCATCCTACTGTTTACTTATTCAGCAATTGTGGAAAGAACCTTCCAGTTTTTTCAGACATTATTGCCTATTCTCAGAAGCATCTCTTGTTTAGTCTGGAAGATTCACCAACACAATCTCTCTCTCTCTCTCTCTCTTCTCTCTCTCTCTCTCTCTCTCTCTCTCTCTCTCTCTCTCTCTCTCTCCCTCCCTCTCCCTCCCTCCCTCTCTCTCCAAACCTCCTCATCTGCTCAGAAGAAATATTAGAAACTGGCAGTTTTTGTTGGGATCCGCCCCCTCCCCACATCCATCTCTGCTTATCTTTAACATAACATTTAAGAAATGAAAGGGAACCATCAGCAGAATTGTGAAAAACCATTACATGACACAGCTGTACCATCTGGTTATCCCAAATATGCATCTTCCTCTTACTCCTTTGGGAGGAAAAGGCAGCACTGAGGGCCCAGGCCACAACCTGGATTGCTGTGGAAATACTGGAGCCATCCTCAGACAGGATTCTTTCAACCAGATCCTGGGGTGGGATTTCCCAGCTCTCTTTCTCCAGGCATCTCTTCCAAACTTTCTTAGACAACAAGGGGATTGAATAGGAACACTGAAATGCTGCCTCGCCAAACTTCCCTGCAGCAGAGTAATGTGAATTAAAATCATAATATTGTGTCCTTTTCTTTGATTGAATTGAGAAGGATAATATAAGATGGTTATGCTGGAGATTAACAAACTGGTAAAATAATCTCACATTGATATCTGACAAAGCTGTACCAATCCATACTTTTTCCTTAAACAGGATTTGATTCTTTTCAATGTGTTGTATTAACACTGCTACTATTAATGTGGTCTGAGAATCCAACTGACAAACAATACTTTTCATTCTACTGTCACTAAAATATTGAAAAAATTGCTTATCCCTCCCTATTCTAAGAACCACAGGTAAGCTTTCAGAGAAGGCAACACAGAGGCCTTTCTTTAGGGCTTCTGGCACAAAGGTTCTTCTGAACTTTTCTCCAGTTTCATTGTCCGGAGCAGCGAGGCCGATCCACGTCCATCGGAAATGCAGGAGCAGTTGGACAATTGCCAAGTGAGGAGGTTCTTGCTTTGGACTCACCCGGTAGAAAAAAGGAAAATGGTGTTTCTGCTCTGGAATGTGGCTGATGACCCCATAGTTGATCTAAGATGTAAGAGAAAAAATATGGTCAATTGTTTTGCTTTTCAGGACAAAAATAAGTCCTTACCTCAAAGGGCTTTTTTTTTTCTGATGCTAACCCTATACTCACACATCAAGTGGTCAAATATATTCACCAAGTTATACTCAGTGGCTAAGACACTGAGCTTGTCGATCGAAAGGTCGGCAATTCATTGGCTCGAATCCCTAGTGCTGTGGAACAGAGTGAGCTCCCGTTACTTGTCCCAGCTTCTGCCAACAAAGCAGTTCGGAAAGCACGTAAAAAATACAAGTAGAAAAATAGGGACCACCTTTGGTGGGATGGTAACAGACATTTGAATGCCTGATGAAAATATAGTATTTCAGGTGTCTTTAAAGCTCTGTCATCTGACACATTTTATTGATCATCTGATCCCTTTTTGACCATCAGTAGACTTTATAAAATGAAATTAGCTTCAGTATTCATTCTTACTTGTGGAATTTTGTAGGTGCCTAACGTAGTTGAAATGTAATTAAAGAGTTCTGAATCAGTCTCTTCAAACACAGCCAAAAGATTCTTTTGTCTTCCGCAACTGTAGTTTGGGACATTCTCCTGCCCTGTAGACAGCAAGTCCATCATGAATTCGGATGTGATCCTTGCATTGAAAAAGTTTTCATAGATGCTGTATCCCAGGGTGATGTTTGGTAACAGCTTTGGATTCTGGTTGACCTCATGAATGGCAAAGAAGAAGGGCAGGACGTGCCAGAAGCTCATATTCTTTGTACTGCAAAATAAGAGAGTGCAGTTGGTTTTCATCCTCAATTCATAAAATGACATCATATTACCTGAAGCTGTTCCTTTATGACATTTAGCAATCAGTTGGATTGTTGTCTTATGAGACTAGCCTGGAAATTTAACAATCTAAAAATCTTAAATTAGTTATAGAATGTATCCCTAATATATGTCTAATTGTGTTGCCCAGGATGATGTTTGATAACAGTTTTGGATTCTGATTGATGTCATGAAGGGAAAAGCAGGAGGGGATCAGACCAAAAGCTCAATTCCTAGTTTTAATGATAGACTGCTAATATCACAGGTGTCAATATTAAAAGTTAAAACATAAAATTTTAACATTCATATCAGCTAACCATCCCCATTAAAAGAAACACAGTGGAAAAGATAAAATTAATCACTAGCGTTCAGGACACATCAGGAATTACCTTACAAATCTGTGGTTTGGAGGCTTAAAGAAGGTGTATGCTTGAAATACAGCGCTAG